CTACTCAGATCTTGGTTTATTGTGTGATTTTTATTGTTATGTCGCTGGCTGTGCATAATGGGATTAAATGTTACACTGATGCTACTACAATTTACACTGGGTGGCGGGGGTGGCCAGTGGGGTGGCACCACTGCCAGGGATGGAGGAAACATGTTGGTATTGTGTGGGTTTTTTCCTTTCTGCAGAGCTCCTTCATTTTTCCAGCTGAAATTTTGAATGTCGTCTTTATGCTGCAGGATCAGGTTCTGGATAAGCTTTCCTGCCTTGATACCAGCCGCAGAGATCCATTGATCAAAGTATTGGGCTTTAGCAGCAGATCTGACCTCTGACCTACAGCTGAAACCAGGGATAGTAGGCTCCTCAGATAAGGAGATCCTGCTGGACGAACCTTGTGATTCAGGCTGAATCTCCTCCTGCGCTGTTTGGGAATATCACAGGGATTTATTTTACCTTATTGGACTTTGTTCAACACATTCTTCCACTTTTTCTCTTTAGAGTTAAAGTTTATAGAGGTCAGGGGTCATCAATGTCCTGCTTTAACCTCTGACTCAGATGGGATGTTGGTATGTGGAAACACACATCCAGGGCCTGAAGCCCGGGGCTTGGGGGCCACGGCAGGAATTCTGTTCATGGACAGATAAAGCCGGGATCATCTTGGATGTTTTCAGGTTCGTTCCCAGTGGAGATCAGTTTTCCCAGCAGGAAACAAAACCCGTTTACAGACAGAAACAGATGTCAAGCTTTCTGTTTCACCTAAAACCTGCTGAGTTCTGTTTCTCCTTCTTCAATAATTTAGTCTACATTAAGCCTTTATTTTGTATGGACACTTCCTTCTGTGAAAGGTGAACCATTTGACCTCTAGCTGGTTCTGATGAGAGATTTTCTGTAAAACTTCCAAAGCCGGCTGAGAGTGCAGAGTTCATCCAAACAAACAGAACCGGTCCAGCCAGAACATTCAAATGAAGCTGTTTACTTTGCTGCAGTTTGGTTAGTCTTTTATTTTGAAAAGGTCAGAGGTCCCAAACATAAGGATTGGAATTAGAGTAGCTTAAAGTAGTGGGTTCTGTGATTCTTGAGTTTACATTCTTCTGGATGTATTCTTCTGGATGCATTACCGGGATTCCTCTGCAGAAGACAGACCGCTTACAAAAAACAATAGATTTTATTAGATTTTT